CCTTCCTAACCAAAGCAAGTCCCCCAGAAGTCAGAGAACTTTTTTGTCTGGACTCGAATTTAAACAATGATTATCCTGGTATTAAAAACAAAAACAGTCTCGATCAGCACTTTAAGCTACCCGCCAAGAAATGGATTTTATCAGGGCCAAAAGAGGGCTGATTCTTAAATATGCATAACCGGAACCATGATTTAAAACGGAAATCTGGTAGTAGAGAAAAGACAGATTTTAAGGTGCTTTGGGGTTGTTGTTACTACAGTTAGACAGCCCGAAATAAGGATTTTAAAAATTTCAATAGCTTCCTCTCTGTGCCTTTTCTAGAACCCCCATGAATAAAACATCTGCCTAGACAAAAAAACTTAATCATTAGGAGGATCCTTATTATTTAATGGAATCACCCATATCTGGAGATCTGTATTTAAAAGCTCAACCCCTCCCAGCTGACCATGCCTCTCAGGCAGATCGGTTCTATAAAATATCTGCCCATGTAAAGAAGGGCCCAGGAATCTTAGGCACTTAATTACTAATATTAAAGACTAGAAGCATGTGTTTAAACCGGAAAAATATTAATCTACGTTCCATTCCAAAAATATTTTAAGGAGGCTAGGTTCTTTCACCACATAATGAGCACAGCCTGACAAGGCAGTATCATGTGAACTGTGGACTCCAGGCTTTGCTCAAGGAAAAAAAGCAGGATGTTTTGAGGCAGAAGTGCCCACTAGCCTTTCTCAGCTCCACTGTAAACACATGGGGGTTAGCGTCCCCAACCCTCTTCAAAGTTGAAAACATCAGTACAACTTAACAGTTGGCCCTCTGGGTTCTGTACCTGCAAATACAACCACCTATGAATGGTGTAATGCTGTAGTACATATTCATTGAAAAAAATCTACATATGAATGGACCCATGCAGTTCAAAATCTTGTTGTTCAAGGGTCAACTGTAATGACGCATATCCATTAGAGTATCATACAGGGTATTTTTCACTGCCCTAAAAATCCTCTGTGCTTTGCTTATACATTCCACCCATCACTCTCACCAATCCCTGGCAACCACTGATCTCCACAGTTTTGCCTTTTCCAGAATGTCATATAGTTGGAATCATACAGTATGTAATCTTTCCAGATTGGCTTCTTTCACTTAATAATATGCATTACTTAGTATATGCATTAAGGTTCTTCCATGTCTTTTCATGGCCTGATAGTTCATTCATTTTAAGCACTGGATAATATTGTGTTGTTTGGATGTGCCAGTTTATCCATTCACCTTCTGAAGGACATCTTGACTGCTTCCAAGTTTTGGCAATTATGAATAAAACTACTATAAACATTCATGTGCAAAGAAACAAAAAAAACCCAAAGCATGCATGTACTGGTTTTTGTGTGGACATAAGTTTTCAACTTACTTGGGTAAATGTCAAGGAGTGTGAATACTGTATCACTTGGTAGGACTATGTTTAGTTTTGTAAGAAACCACCAAATTGTATCCCAAAGTGGCTGTACAATTTTGTATTCCCACCAGCAATGAAATGAAACTTCCTGTTGCTCTATATCTTCACCAACATTTATCATTATCAGTGTTCCAGATTTTGGCCATTCTCACAGATTCATAGATTTGTAGTGGTCTCTTTTTTTCATGTGGGCCATCTTTTCAAATGCTTATTTGCTATCTGCATATCTTCCTTGGTGAGGTGTCTATTAAGGTCTTAGTCCATTTTTAATCAGCTGTTTATTTTCTTATTGCTGAGTCTTAAGAGTCCTTTATCAGTTGTGTCTTTTGCAAATATTTTCTCTCAATTTGTGCTTGTCTTCTCATTCTCTCAACAATGCCTTTTTTAGAGCAGAAGTTTTTAATTTTAATAAAGTCCAGTTTATCAATTATTTCTTTTATGGATGTCTTCCATGTCATATTTTTTAAAGTATTGCCACATCCAAGGTCTTCTAGGTTTTCTTCTAGGTTATCTTCAAGGAGGTTTATAGTTGTGTGTTTAACACTTAGGGCTGCAATGCATTTTGAGTTAATTTTTGTGATGAGTGCAAGGCCTGTGTCTAGATTTATTCTTTTGCATGTGGGTGTCTGGTTGTTCCAGCACCATCTGTTGAAAAGAATTATATTTACTACATTCCATTTCCTTTGCTTCTCTATCAAAGATCAGTTGACCATATTTATGCTCAACATCATTAGTCTTTAAAAGTATGGCTTTACCTTGAAAAAAAAAACACACAAAGAAAGGCAACTCATTTAAATAAAAATTTACTTGGTTTTCTTTCCCAGTATCAATTTTCTTGTATGCAGTAAGTGAAAACATGTACTCCAAAACTTTCCCAAGGTCTTATTTAAAAACCTCTTTGTAACAAAGGTTTTTCATTAAAAAAAAAAAAATTTTTAGGATTTTTATTTATAAAAAATATATAAAAGATATTCATTGAAAGCATTCTAATTGTTTTTACATTCATACATAATCTCTCCAGTGTGACTTTTACAATAAATTAACATAGCCTTTTCCACACTCCCTATATTTATAATCTATGGTTCTTCTCCAGTATGGATCATGTTTCCTAATGACAAAGAACAATCAAAGGCTTTCCTATATCCCTTTCATTCAGGGGATTTCTCATTATGTGTGCTTTCATACTTTCCCAAAGCAGAGAATAAAAACTAAAAAAAATCCTATACTTTTTACATTCGTAATATTTTCACACCCGTGAACTCACAGCTGAATATTAAAGTATAAGGCAGAGCAAAAGGCTTCCCACATTCCTTACAATAAGGTTACCTCCACTATGAATTAGTACATGTTCAGTAAGTGTGAAAGTATCAAAGGCTTTCCCACACTCTTTACAAGCGTTAAGTTCTCTCTCAAATGTGAATGTGTATACATTCAGAAAGGCATGAAGTATTACTAAAGGTTTTCCCATATTCCTCATATATATGGCTTCTCCCCACTGTGAGTTCTTAAATGTTTAATAAGACATGTGGATCGAGTAAAGGATTTCCCACATCCCTTACATTCAAAAGGTTGTTCACCAGTGTGAGTTCTCATGTGCACTGTAAGGCCTGATGAAATAGTGAAGGCTTTCCCACATTTTTTACATTTATACACTTCTCTCCAGTATGTGTTTCTTTTATGTTGACTAAAGTACCAGGATTATCTAAATGCTTTACCACATTCTTTACATTCAAAAGGTCTTTCTGTGCACTCTTTATTTTTTTAATTTTTAAAAATTTAATTATTTTTGGCTACACCAGCATATGTGGGATCTTAGTTCCCCAACCTGGAATAGAACCTGTGCCCGCTGCATTGGAAGCGTAGTCTTAACCACTGGACCACCAGGGAAGTCCCTACACCGTGCATTCTTAAATGTCGAATAAGAAATGAGAATCAAATAAAGGCTTTCCCACAGTGCTTATAATTACAAGGTTTTACCCCAGGGTGAGTTTCCAGGTGACTCTTAAAGCAAGATGAAATACTAAACATTTTCCCACATTCCTTACAATGATAAGGCATCTCACCAGTGTGAATTCTTCATATGTACAGTAAGGTATGAGGAACTAACAAAGGCTTTTCCACATTCTCCAGTTTAAATTTGCATGTGAATACTGTTTTAAGAAAAGTAAACTCTGGGCTACACTCCTTACAAACACAGTGTTTCTAGTATAAAATCTTATATGCTTAGCAAGATCTGGGGAATAAGAAAAGCCTTTTTCAAGTTTCTTACATTTCACAGGCATCAGTCCTCTGTGAATTCTTAAATGCTGAACAACATGAAGATTGAGTGAAAGTCTTCCCACATCCTTTACACTCATAGGATATTTCTCTAGTGAGTTCGCATATGTACAAAAAGGTTTGTAGAATGTGAAAGAGCTTTCCTACGTTCTTTAAAAGCATACGTCCTCTCTCCACCATGAAAAAAAAACGTTCCCTAAGGTACGAGGAAGAAGGTAAGCCTTTCTTACAGTCAGCGCATTTATAGGGTTCTCTTGAGTGTAAGTTTTCTTGTGAACCAGGTGTAAATTTTGTTTGAAGGCTGTTTCACACCGATTATACTCAGGAGCATTCTCTCCAGAATGGGTTTTCTTGTGTAGATCAAGGGCACAGTTCTTTATGAAGGCATTTTCACACTGATAACACTCACAAGTTTTCTTTCTAATGTAAGTTTTCCTTTGAGCCTTAAGGCATGAGTGTTCACTCAAGGCTTCTTCACAATGGTTAAAATTGATTTCTCTCCAGTGTAGTTTCTCTCCTGTTGATGAAGAGATTAATGATGACTTAAAAAGTTTTCCAACCTTGTTATATTCAGAGATTTTCCCCTCTGCCTTGTTTTTCTATACAAGAAACAAATTAGTATGGCTGAAGTTTTTTATTTGTTTTTGTTTTTCTTCCATTTTCACTGCAATGCATGGTTCCAGACCCTCAGTGCTTTCAAGCAGAATGAAGTGATCATTCTGCTAGAAAGTTTTGTTGTATTCTTTACTTTCAAAGGGATTTTTATAGAGTTTAGCTGATAATTGATCAAGATGAAATTATTTCTCAAAAACTTCATCTGGGGCTTCCCTCGTGGCGCAGTGGTTGAGAGTCCACCTGCCGATGCAGGGGACATGGGTTCGTGCCCTGGTCCGGGAAGATCCCACATGCCACAGAGCGGCTAGGCCTGTGAGCCACGGCTGCTGGGCCTGCGCGTCCGGAGCCTGCGCTCTGCAACAGGAGAGGCCACAACAGTGAGAGGCCCACGTACCACAAAAAAAAAAAAAAAGAAAGAAAAAAACTTCATCTGAATGACATATATGGGAATATTCAGCTGAGTGAACTCTGTGTGAAGAAATATATCGTGAGGGGTGTTTAAAGTTTTTGCCAAATTCATGATGCCCAGAGACTATGAAAAACAGGTGAATGACACTAGTCTCAAATATCTGTCATGGTTATCGTGCAGCTTTCCTATCTTATGGAACTGCTAATTTTCCACTAGTGTGGAAGGCAAGGAATTATATCTTGTGAATCTTACCATTTCCACCACACTGGATTTTTTCCCATCCAAAATATTCCACTGAGGTGCTGACCATCTGGCATTAAGACAAATCTCCCAATCTGAAATAAGATTAAAAAAAATTATGTTCTTGGAGAAATAAATGGAAGGAAGATGTTAAAAATGAAGGCCAATGTGTATTTACTTTCAAACATTGACTTAAGATACATTTTAAAACAAAAAGAAAGGGGCTTTCCTGGTGGCGCAGTGGTTAAGAATCTGCCTGCCAATGCAGGAGACACGGGTTTGAGCCCTGGTCTGGGAAGATCCCACATGCCACAAAGCAACTAAGCCTGTGCGCCACAACTACGCCCGTGCGCCACAACTATTGAGCCTGTGCTCTAGAGCCTTCAAGCCACAGCTACTGACTGAAGCCTGCACACTTAAAGCCTGTGCTCCACAACAAGAGAAGCCATCACAATGAGAAGCCCGTGCACCACAACGAATAGTAGCCCCCACTTGCCACGACTAGAGAAAGCCCGTGCACAGCAACGAAGACCCAACGGAACCAAAAATAAATAAATAAATTTATTAAAAAAAAAAAAGATTAAGAAGTTTGGCTGGACTAAGAGTTTGGCATGATAAGGTGCTGTGGTCAAATTGGTAGGTGATTTACTAAGAAATGATTCTATAAATGTTGAGACTGACAATGAACAGAAAGCAGCATAACCAGGAAAACAACGTTGAAAGGAAATGGATAAAGAGCTTAATGCAAATGCAAAATTTAAAGAAAAAAAATGGGACAGATCCTACTGTCAAGCCAAAAGGAAGTTTAAGAAGGCGAATGAAAAGTTGAAGAAAAAGGGAAGTTTGAGGTACCCAAGGAACCTCAGAACCCAAATGACCTCAGCATCCTTAGGAAAAAAATTCTTCAAAAGACTCCTGTTTAACATTTCCAAATGGACTGCAGCTCTCATGGATTACAGCTCTTTCTCATAAAGAATCACATGTGCCTTTTCCCTCACTTGGAAAACTCTTCCATTTTCTTCAGCTTTCCTCTTTGTTCCACCTGAAAGATCAGACCAGGTCTGCATAGCTGGTGCCCTGCTCTCAGAGAAAGATGCCGGATGTAAGAAGAGCATGCAAGGGATGACAAATACTTCCATAAATAAGGGGCCAAGACTCTGCTCTTCAGGGATACCAAATACTGTCAGGTGTAACTTGAGAAGCAACAAAATTGTTCATGTCCACTTCATCAAACCAGTAAATTTTCAAATAAAACTAAAATGCAAATAAAACTAAAATGCAAACACACACACTCTCTCTCTCTCTCTCTCCCCCACTGTGCACCAAAAGGGTTGCCAGTCTTTTGCCTAAAACCCAAGCTCAAGCTTATATATATAATTTTGAAGTCCTAAGCCTTTTATCCTAGAAAAATTAAAGCCAATACAATGAACAGATCTTCATTTTCAAGAGGAACATCCTGGCATCAGGCAATTGCCATCTCCATCAATGTTCCCTGGAGAAAGAGGAAGGGAGACTCAAAGCCTAGACAGGTTTTATGTTCTTCCATAATCAACCCCAGGGCTTGATGGTCCTCAAGTTCCTTCTCCTCTCTACCTGGACGTATTCATGGTGACTTCATCCAATTACGTAGCTTTAAGAGCACCTCTCTCACCTAACTGAACGTATCTCACCACAACTAGATTGTGACCTCTTCTGGTCTTATTTTTCTCTGTTGACAGGTTAGCCATAGTCCTGAGCACATTACAGACACAGTAAATGCTGGTAAATGAATTATTCCTCCAGTGACAGTACAAATTCTCAGAGGCACATGTCGGCTCCCTGTCTATCATAGCAAATTGAGAGCACACAATCAGCATGGACGAATTGGACTGAATTAGTAAATACTGGACTGAATTAGTAAATACTGGGGTGATAGTATCATTCTCCTGTGTAAATGAAAGGCCCTAAGTAAGACCTGAGGAAATTTAACTCGGGACTCAGTCCCTAAGCAGGCCCTATTTGAAACAGAAGCTCTGTTTCACTAGTAAGAAACATATCTACCTCGTAGGAAGAAGCATGTGCTTTTATAAAAGAATAAATTTCCTACTGACCTGAAAATAGTTTGTCAGACACCCAGTCACAATCCTTTCCCCTTCTGACTTCTCCTCATGACAAGAGAAAAAGTCTTGAGAAAGACAATGTTGAAGAGAAGAAACAAAACCTGAGAATCCAGGCTGCCCACAGTTTCCGTACTCACAAGCCTGGCAGCCACTCCACACTAATTCTAAGTGAACATACATACACACACACACACACACACACACACACACACTGCTGCCATAAAATGCCCTATAGCCCGCCTCATCTGAAGTCAGAAATGGGATTTGGGGCTTTGATAAACAAGAAGAAGAGTTTAATAATCTAATCTCATTTTACAGATAAAGAAATTAAAGTCCAGAGAAGTAAAACTGTTGGGGAATTTTTTGGCTAACAATAATAACTCATGTGATTAAGCAGAACCTCTCCCACAAAAATAGGCATACTTACCCCTCTTTCCCAAGCCCCAGGATTTAGACAACAGGATATTGTTATATACTTAAGCCCCCTCCTAGACAGCCCAGAAGCAGGACTGCATAGACCCAGACCACAAGACAGGCTGCTCACAGGCCAGTTAAAGCACGGTCTCTGAAAGGAGCATCAACAAGGACTTACCACAAGGGAAAAGGTCAATGGCTGGCATCCTGTGAATCTGTTAATGAAATCTGCCTTAACATGTCTTATTCCCAAAGTCTCTTCAAGACAGTTTCTGAATTTAATGGGTAAGTTAATCTCAATTCCTCTTGATTAAGTAGGAGTCTTGCCTCATACCATCAATCTTTATGCAGGAGGCATTTCTCATCTGTCATCAAGCATCATTCATTAGCCATCTCTCTGTAGAAGATGGAAGTTATATTATGTGAAAGTCATTAGAAACTGTAGACCACATAAATATAAATAATAATTGCCGTTCACTGAGTACTCATTATGTGCCAGAACACACACACAGTGGAAGCTCATATGATTATCAACAGTATTATTACTGTCATTCAGTAGTTGAGGCAACTTATGTTCAAACAGGAGTAGTAATTGGCTCAAGATCACCAGTTAAGAAGTGGTGAGCCAGAGTCTGAATGCAGGTTACTCCGTCTCAAAAGCCTGAACTCCTGAGGTTACCGTTATTCTCCAATATGAGAATTTATCTTCAATTTTTAAAAAATGCAATTATCTGTTAAGCACAATAAAGGAAAGCACAATAAAACAAGGTATGCCTGTACATTATAAACAGTAATTGCTGTCAACATACTTTCTTGGAAACAGACATTCTCACAGACCTTGAGCCTGCGACCCTCCATAACCACTTGTCCATTATACTTTGGGTCATGGAAGCAATACCCCCATAAACACAGCATAACCGCTGAGGCCTCCTTATGAGAGGAGGGAACCAAATCTGGGCCCTTTCATATATTCCACTTTCAGGAGGGGTGGCCTCCCCTGTCTCTTGCCAGATGCCATGGTGCTGGAGGATGTCACCCCTCCCCCAGACCCTTGACTACCTAGGAAGCCCCCTGGGATTAACTTGAGTAAATAGCAATGAGAATTGGAGGACTATACAAATGACACTGTTAACCATCATATGTAATGGAGCCTGATGGAATGTTGCTGCTTCCCATCCCTTAGCCATGATGTCCCTAAATAAAGGATGGGACCCAAGAAACAACACACTTGGTCAAACTTCAGGCAGTCATCTCAGCACCGGATGCCCTAGCCAACAAATGGTCCCATCATCACATTTATTATAAACTGTTGGGCTATTATCTAAAAATTGTCCTATTTCATGGTACAGAACTCTGGCAATCTCTTGCCTCACAGGCACCGAAAATATAAATCAAAATCACATGTCTTTACATATAACTAAGACTACAGTACAAGGCCTTGCCAGGATGCTCGTTATTCCCTTTGGAGTTATAGGCATTACTGCTAGTAACAAAGACACGCATTTCACTGCTTAGAATACACAATGTTGGGCTCTCGGAAAAGGTATTCATAGAACTTTCATGACCCCAATAACTGGTTTAACTGAGATGCTTAATAGTCTCCTGAACAATTCCTATTCATTAAATTCCAGTCCAACAAATAAACCTGAAAAGGTCTCTATTTCGCCTCAAACCTTAACCTATATTTATAATTTTTTTTTAATCTTGCCCTATCCCATAAGGGCTGGAGGCCAGATTGAGGGGGTGTACTCCACTGGGATCTATTAACCATAGATTGTCCCAAAGACCAGGCAGCTGTACTACTGATATGGGAGCCTAAACTTCATTCAAAAACTAAAAACCCTGTCGAGTTTAGCTACACACCACAGTTTAGGTAACTGTGGACTTATTATTGGTCTGGGTGCTTTCATTGGTTTACAATCCAGAGGCCCAAACCCTCCAAATAAGACAGTGTTTCAACCAAACACGGCAAATGCTGAGATCCACATCAACTGGAGTAGGTACCCACTTGAAAAGGATACTCCAGTCTCACACTCAGCAACATCACCCTGGCCCAGGAGCTCACCACCAGAGATGACGTCACCCCAGGAGACATCACCCCAGTCTGAGATCTCGCCATTGGAGATGACTTTGCCCCCTGGGCTAACTTGACCCTGACACTAAACCCCAGGGACTGTTTCTTCTAACGCACAGATTGGACATAGGACACTTTGTGCTTTTCTTCCTTTGATATTAGGAATTCTATTATGATTCTGAGTTCCTTGTCTGCTTAGCCCACGATCCAGGTATACTCCTTGCTCTCTGCCAAAACATACACCCCTACACTCCATGCCTACAGGGAAATCTGGTAGAGGTCACTAGTATCGATATCATTCCAAAAATTAATGGACTGTGTGATTCCAACTATATGACATTTTAGAAAAGGCAAAAGTATGTAGTAGTAAGAAGACCAGAGGTTGCCAACGATTGTGGGGGTCAGGGAGAATAGGCAAGACACAGGGTTTTTAGGGCAGTGAAAATACTCTGCATAATACCGTAACGAGGGAAACATGTCATTATATGTTTGTCCAAGGCCACAGAATCTACAAAACCAAGAGTGAACTGTAATGTGATCTGCGGACTTCGGGTGATTATGAGGTGCCCATGTTGGTTCATCAACTGTAACAAATGTACCTCTCTGGTGGGGGATGCTGATAATGGGGGAGGCTGGGGGGAGAGCAGGGGACAGATGGGAACTCTCTGTACCTTCCCCTCCATTTTGCTGTGAACCTGAAACTGCTCTAAAAACAAAGTTTTAATTTTAAAAAGGAAAGGAATTAGTGGAGATTACTGCTTTCCCCAGGAGGCACGTGCCTTATATTGGCCAACGCCTGGACCCTCTGGGAAGAGGGCCACCCACTCCCTGATGCTTTCTTCCACTAACCGCCTCCAGCTTTCCACCAAGACCTTCTGCGTTGCAGCCACCCGCACTCCTTCCCCTTGGTTCCACACACAACCACCAACCTTTACATGTACTTTACTAACTTATCAGCTCATCCCCTCCAACACCACCGCCAGATGTGTCACCCTGATATGAGAGTATTTCTAACCTACTCTACAACTCCACTAAGATATTGTTAGGGACTGCAAAAAATTTCAGATTTATTTTCTTGACTAATGCAATATAAATGGGAAACTTATATTATGGGCTGGCCTACAAGGACTCCTCGTACTTTACCTGTGTTTCTCCTTTCCATTATCACAGTAAAATGTTTTCTGTGTTGGTTAGGGGCACTTATGCCACACTGTCTAAAAGTCTCTACTATCATTGCCCTGGTTTCCTTACTCTCATCAAAACATGAGTACCGACTGTATTGGACACTCACGTGCGCACGCGCGTGCACACACACACACTTTTTCTGTATATTATATGACTTTTGACATCTGAAAAAATCCTTTCTGGCTGGGGAGAGACTGCTTCTTGGGGCTAGCCAACTCTGAGAAATAACAAAGGACTCAACCTGGAGCATGATTTTGATATGCAAACTAACCAATCAAGAACCATACTTACCTCCAGCAGACCCATCCACTGTAGGAGGCAATATTTCTCTGCCTTAAACATCCCAGGGCCAGGTAGCAGGCAACTAGAGACCACTCGTATACCCAAAGCCTGCCAAAATTATTCAAAGCAGTCAATCCTGGCTGTTTCCTCTGCCCTGCCTTGCCTTTCCCATAGAAACCCCAATAAAGGCAGTGGCCTAAACCTTCCCCTCTCTCCTGTGCCTTCTGCCTCTTGACCATCCTGGTGTTTTCCCACATCACCCTGCATGGTTACATGTTGCCTCGCCTCTAGGACTTAACAGTATAATAAACTTTGTTTTTTCCTGGGCCTCCAGTCTCCCCTTGTGGCAGAACTTGACTGACCATCTCATGAAAGAATATGTAACAGAGTTACTATTGCTTTCTTATTCACTGAGAAACTTTGTTCTGTAAAATCAGAGACTATCAGAGATTCACTGTTTGAAATTGTATCAGTAAGACTGAAACATCCTAATTTTGCCTGGAGGATATACATCATTATTTTGATATTTGACATCAAGAAGGAGTCTTGATTTAAAAACCTGGAACTGAGCTTCAAATAAAGGGTTTCTGGACACAATATTCCACAACTATCTTAATTTTATTGTTTCCAAGGAAACAAGAGCCTGGGTTGTTTGTAGTACAGACCTGATGTTAACCCCTTAACACAGTCCTGCTTTGCTTTGAGACTATAAAATTACTGCTCCCTTTAAATTTCACCTAAATGTCACAATTCTCAGAATCCATAAGTATACATTTTGCTTTGTTTGGTTGAGACATCCACAGTTCCTCTGCTATGCAGTCTCCCTCACTGCAATGAGTCAAAAAATCTGGGTTTTTTTGCACTACAGGTTTGCTCCTACTGTTAGTAGGCTGCTTTGGTTAGGATAATTGGAAGCAACACAAATTCTATCCATAGGACGCTAGTTGACTAAACTACCATACATGCACTAATAAAGGGCTCAGCAGCCACTAAAAAGGATAAGGAAAATCACTATGAACTGATATAGATTGATTTCCAGTATTTAGTTTAATTGGGGAAAGAAGTACATTCATGTGAAGGTAAAAAGGAAGAAAGGAAGGAAGGAAGGAATATATATATATATATATATATATATATATATATGAATTTTGAGAAAGTTTACATCAGAAACTAATAAAATGGAAATGGTTAGCTACTGGTGGTAATGTGATGTGAGACTTCTGAATATACCTTTTTATACAGTTTTACCTTTGAACCGTGAAAAAGTTTTATAAATTAAAAAAATAAGTTAATTCAGAAAGGAAGCAAACCTTAAAACTAAATGTAAACAGATATGTACATAATAGTGTATCAAACTGATAACAAAACCATGAGAGAAAAGACTTAGAGTTCATACAAATATTTGAGCACAGTACTATGAGCTGCATATACTTAATATAAACCATTAAGGACAAAAAAATGCAAAGTAACTTAATACTTTATTGAGCAAGTCTACCATTAGTAATATTGGTATTATAATTTTTGAAACTACTGTACCCATACTGTTGGATAAAACAATATATTAATGGTATTACAAACCAAGGTTTTTATAATAAGAGAAAAGAGATACAAGTATAAAATAAAGAAAAAAGCACATATTAAATTTTTACTAGGAATATGAGTATGAACTTACAATGTAAGAAAATATATTTTTAATTGTGTTTTTGAAGAATAACAATATGAGAGTATGTTCATGATAATAATTTATATGAAAAGGAGGATATAAAATTATAAATACAATTTGATTTCAATTTTGTCTCAAAAAAAATATGTATATATTTTTTTAGATAACCACTGAAAGGCCTAGATACAGTTATACCCCAGTAGCACTGAGCCCATCACAGAGACCTTGGTGTCTATAAGGAAAGAGGAGAAATCATTTATTACAGGTCTGTAACTGGAAAGTACAAAGTGAACTGGGGATTTACACTCAAAGACTAATAGGTATGTGTTGAAGGGACACACGAGTCAAATTAAAAGGACTCCTCCTGGCCAAGTTTGGGACAGCTTGAGCATCAAATGACAGCAACTGTTTATAATATGATGAATGAAAGAAAAATCCAGGGATATGTTGTGACACTCTGAAAGGGAAAAAAATATAGAGGGCAGGGGAAGTGGGGAGGGAAAGCTCTTGTTTATAGAAGACTGACAGCTAAAGAATAGAGAAGGAATGACAGAATTAGAAAAAAAAAAAAAAACATTTCATAAGCCCCCAACGTAAAAACAGGTTGAAGCGAAGATCAACAAGTGATGTTAAAACCACTGATCGAAAGGGTTGGGGAAGAGATTATTCCCCTATTGCCAAGTATCACCCACAGATTACTAAAAAGAAAAATGTGACTACACGAGAGAGATGGGCACTTTGACTAAATGCTTTGCATTCCTAATACACAGTGGGACAACTTGCATTTATGTGCCTCCCGATCCCATATTGAGGGGATACAATATGAAGTACACAACATCACCTAGGAAATTTTCACGTCTCTAAACCTGCAGTCTAACTTAGTAGCCATTGGCTCGCTCTATGTGGCTACTGTGAACATGAAATGTGGCTAGTGTGACTGAGGAACTGAATTCTTAATTTTACTTACTTTTAATTAAGTTTAGAAATAAAATTGCCCAGTTACTAAAAAACTTTTCAGCATGTTTGGAGCAATCTGGGTTTCCAAGTCTACTTTTTCAACAGTAAATTTTATGAAAGCTAAATACAGATCAAGAATTTCCAACAAAAATTTAGCAGCCACACTGAGATGTGCTTAAGTATAAAATACATACCAGATTCCAACAGTTAGTACAAAAGAAATGTAAAATTTTTCATTAATAATTTTATATTAGCTACATTAGTCATTAATTTCACCAATAACTATATATTAATAACTGGATAAATTGGGTTAGATAAGATATATTATTAAAAATAACTTCATTTTTTCCTAACTTGGCTACTAAAATTTTTTAAATTACATCTGTACTTCACATTATATTTGTATTAGACACTACTGCTCTAGACACAATGTCCACTGTATGAGATAGACAAGTTAATTAAATGAAATCACAGGAAAACATCATATCAGAATGCCAACATTTTACAATACAAAAATCCTGAAATAGGCAGGAACCAAAAATACAGGCAAATGTTTTAGGTAAAAGAAATCTAAAACCAAAATGCAACGTGCAAATCTAATTTGGATCCTAGCTCTCCAAAAAACCGGACAACTATAAAAGATACTCTTGGAAAAGTGGAAAATTTTTGATTTTCTTGGTGGACAATGCAGTTTTGTTCTTAGTAGGAGATTGTCCTCATTCTTAAGAAATGAACGCTGAAGATTAAAGGGGGAAGTGAATGTCTGCAATTTCCCATTAAATGGTTCATCATAATACATATAACGAGAGATAAAATCTTAATTAGTGAATCTAGATGAAGGGTTCATGGATGTTCGTTTTATTGACGTCACAGATTTTCTCTAGATAAGAATTTCAAGATGAGGGACTTCCCTGGTGGTCCAGTGGTTAGAACTCCACGCTCTCACTGCAGGGGCCCGGGGTTCAATTCCTGGTTGGGGAACTAAGATCCCCTAAGCTGCGCAGCGCGGACAAAAATAATAATAATAATAATTTCAAGATGAATACCTGGAAGAAAAATCCACCCGTCAAAACTCATCTTACTTACGGTAAATTCAATTCCAACTTCTGCTACTAACAGAAACCAGCCTACGTCGTCTTCCTACCCTGAGACTCCTATACTTTTGAAGCTTTGGGGCTTTACAGGGCTCTGACGTGGTAAATTTAGTATTTATATGAATTCCTTCACTACTGCATTTATTTAGATCACACACACGTGCTGCCTAATAACCTGCAAAGGTTCTCTTTCCAACGGAATATAACTTACCAAACTTCAATAACCGACACCCACGGCCGGAACAAAGCCACCGAGTGCTCACCGGGACCCGGGGACAGGGGGCCATTGGGGCCGGAGTGCCGGGACGAGAACGACAGAGATGCTATTCCTTTCCCTTGTGGAGAAAGGACCCAAAGGTTGCTCTGGAGCCTTTTGAAATCGGGAGCATCGCGGATGAAGACAAAGCCTGGCCGACCCGCCTCCTCCCAGAGCTGCCGCCCGGACCTCCGCTGGCCGAGCGGGCCCGGGCTCTCGCGGGAAGGGCCGCCGCCCGGGAGCGCCAGCTGGAGGCCGGGGCGGCCAGGTCAGCGCGCGAGGCCAGCGTCCTCTGACCTCAAGCCTCTTATTTTGTGTCTTCCCCTCCTTCTTGACCGCACAGAGGCGGGACACACCAAGAGGCGAAAACCTTACCTCAGACCCGCGCCGGACCACACAGCAAAGACAGCCGCCGCCTTGCGCACGCGCACTTCCAGGCTCCTCGCACAGCGTAAGGGGCGGGGCCTCGGAGGTTGGGCAGACGCCGGAGGCTGCTTTTCTTTCATCTCGGAGCAGAAGAGAGATATATTTTTCCTCCCGCGGATTGGTGTTGGGGTGCTGGGTCAGGCCCCGGAAGGCAGGGCTGTGGTCCAGGACCTGTGTAGTGGTTTGTTTTCCTCCATAGCCCATGCATCTTACATGTCTTACATGAAAAACAATTGCTTTCAAATTTTGATGCATAGTTGAATGCATCATACCTGTCATTGCACAACTCTTGCTGCACTTTCCCCACGGGGATACGTATACAGTTACCGCCTAGATGTACTTGACCTTTCCACATGGCAACATAAATTCCCTGTGCACCATTCATTTTTTCATTATAGTTTAGCTTCCTCTCTGTGATTCCCCCTACCTGGGAAGGGAGCTTCAAACCGCAGTTAGGGCGAGAGGGAGCAAACGCTTCTGCATCTCAGTCTGGGGCCTCTGACACTGGAGGTGAAAAGGTGACCCTAAGTTTAAGATGGCTTCTGCTAACTATGTGGCTGAGGCTGCTGTCCTGAAGCAATGGGGAGATTCTTTAGCCACTGAGTTGCGAGAGTGACTGTGATACCCAGTTGGACTCTGGTTTCCATTATGTTTTTGAGCTTGAAGATCCATTTTAGCTACCGACAGATAAAGAAAACAGCTTATTGTAATTTGGGAGACCAAGAAATGGGGAGTTCTCAGTATTAGCCTGGAGTCAGTCAAAGGCTAACTGTGCAGTGACCTCCCACGGCAGAGATTCACGGGTGTTAATAATCATGTCATAGAAGGAGGCAAATAGTTAAGGTGGCTATGCACAGTCTACAATAAGTTTTAGGAATCTTATAAGTCATCTTTCAGTAAAAGAAAAGGGAATTTTTAATGGCTGTTATTCACTCTGGTGTGAGGAACTTGTTTCCCAGCGTTATGGTCATGAGCTATATAATGAACCTACTAAATCTGATTGAATTGTAATTTATCCTCAGAAAGTTTACATCTTTATTATTTATTTATTTATTTTTGGCCACTGCAGCTTGGGAGTCTTAGTTCCCCCACCAGGGATAGGACCCTGGCCCTGGCAGTGAAAGCGTGGAACCCTAACCATTGAACTGCCAGGGAATTCCCAGAAACTTTATGGCTTTAGATAGCAACGTTTTCCAGGGATGAAGAGATTCCTCTTGAGAGGAGGTTAGATCAGGTGAGTACACCTAGAATCAAAGTAGAAGGATAGGGAGGTCGAAAGTCTTGGAGATTTATGGCTGAGAAACTGGAAGAAGTATTAGGGGCTTTTAGTGAAGACTTGTGGCATCACGGTCCAGGTGTATTGTATTGTCTCACGAAACTGAAACGGTATTAGGAGTCAGGATGTAAAGGAATACTGGAGAAAGTAGGCCGCTGACCTCTTGTTCCTAGAGCATTTCCTGGAAACGTTTACCACTGTGAATACGTATCTCTTATAACTCTGAAATGTTTCTAAGGATTTGAGAGCCTTTCCTTTGAAATGTAATCATCAGGAAGGATAGGGCCTCTGTTTCCCAATATCTGGGGCTTCCCTGCACAGTGGCCCAGGGTAAGTCCTTTGTCCACTTTTCTCCAGCTTCTTCCCTTGCTCCTCCTGGGAGATCAGAAAGAGTGTGTATAGCTGACATGCTGCTCAGGGAAAAAAAGCAAACAATGAGGTAAGACAGCAAAGGACAACAAGCATTTTTTTAAATTGTGGTAAAATATACATAACATAAAATTTAATCATTTTTAAGTGTACGACTCAGTGGCATTAAGTACATTCGCAATATAGTGCAGCTACCCCCACTATCCATCTCCAAAACTTTTCCATCACCCCAAACAGAAGCTCTGTAGGGTAACAAACACTTTTATGAGATTGGTTCAATATTTTGGTCTCCAGGGTCTCTGGAGATGAGAAAGTATCAGTTTACTTGCAGTAAAATGAGGATGTTGAATTTGTAATCAACACAGTAAAACTCTAACAAGGTCTCATTCCACAAACTTTCTATGCCCCACGGTGACCTCTGAAGTGGATGCCCACATGTAGACACTTCAAAGAGCCTCCCGGAAGGAGCAGCCTCCCTTGAGATTGAACTTGAAATGACAGGACAAAATTCACTTTCTGGACACTATTATTCCCTTTAGCCTCATCCTATTATTTTTGGTGCCTATTTTGTATATTTTCCACAGATGATGACATTGTTCTAAACACTCTGGTATATGGGACTTTCCTGGTGGTCCAGTGGTTAAGACTCTGAGCTTTCACTGCAGGGGGTGTGGGATCGATCCCTAGTCGGGGAACTAGGATCCCGCATGTCCTGTGAGTGGTAATGAACAATCATATTACCCTGGACTTCTTGCTGGCCAGTCAAAGCAGGGTGTGTTTGGCTGCCAGCATCTCTTGCTGTACCTAGTTTAATATTTAACTGGCTTGGCTCTGGATGGGGAGCTTGGCTGTGGTATATCCTCCATTTACCTCGAATCACCCTACTGGGAGTCATGGTCCCAGTCACTCTTGTCAGATGTTCCCTAAAAGGAACAGAACCATTTTGGTCCAAGCTCTATCAGTACAGTTTGTTAGGGTATCTGTGTTAGTCCCCTATTGCTGCTATGATAGGTGTCGACAAAAGTAATCAATAAGCAATCTACAATAGGAAAAGAAAAGAGTTTTATTTGAGCCAAACTGAGGACTATAGCTTGGAAGCCAGCTTCCCAGATTACTTTGAGAAACTGCTCTAGAGAAGCCTGGTTTTCAGTACAGCTTTATGTCTTGTGAGAACAAAGAACATCAAGAAGGTCAGGGATACATTCCTTCAAGGTTAAAAAAAAACAGATCAGCACGTGCACAGCTAGTCAGTGTGGTCTTGGCACCTGGAAAGGGAGTCTTAGTATGGAAGGAGTACCAGCATTGGCGTCCCAGGAAGGGAGGCATTTAATCTTTATTTTTAACATGGACATTCTTTACTTCTGGTCAATGGACACTTTTCTTTAATAATTAAAGCAGACTGCAGTGCATGTTTGATAGGCCACAAACAGGCTATTTTTCTTAGCATAAAATGCAAGTTAACTCATGTATAGGCCAGAATGACTTCCCCATACCTCAATATGTGAACCTCTCTTTTTATCACAGGTTACCAGAAACTTAGTATCTTAAAACAACGCAAGTATTTTATCTTACAGCTGTAGAGGTCAGGCATCTGAACTGGGTCTCACTGGGCTAAAATCAGGGGGTCCACAGGGCTGTATTTCTTCCAGAGGCTGGAGGGAAGAATTCATTTCCTTGTCTTTCCAGCTTCTAGAGATTGCCTCCATTCCTCGGGTCATGGCTCCACATCACTCTGACCTCTGCTTCCATCTTCACATCTCCTTCTCTGACTCCTGCCTCCCTCTTTCACTTACAAGGATCCCTGTGACTACATTGGGTCGACCTAGGTAACCCATGGTAATCTCCCCATCTCAAAAGCCTTAATTTAGTCATAACTGCAAAGTCCCTTTTGCCATATAAAGTAACATTCAGAAGTTCTGCAGATTAAGACATGGGTAATTTTGGCAAGGGGCACTATTCTGCCTACCACAAAAAGTACCTAAAAAGAATTATTAGCTAGATACATGAAAGATTGGGGGCTAGAGGTGTGGAGAAATGGTGCCCTTGAGACTTTGCCTCTATCCACATAGACTATGCAGGCAAAGACTTGACCTGTGGTGAGTCTGGGAGTTGGCCCTGTGATCCTCCCAGAACATGAGAGGATGGGAGGCCTGTCATGAGAGTTTCTCATTGCCTCCTGGGTTCTGATGCTGTAAGAGGCTTTCTTCTCTGCCACCTTCAGAATATAAAACTGCTTAGCTGTGTCTAGATTTGGCTCTTCGACTACAGGGAAGAGGCCCAGTCACAGATTAGGGGTTAAAGTTGGTGGTCATTTGGAGCCAGAAGTAGAGGATCTGATTTTCCCCAGAGTATCGCTCAAATGGTGTGGTCTAATACAAGGTTTTTTCAGGGGGTGGGGAAGGGTGGAGGTAAGGGATAATTAGGGAGTTTGGGATTGACATGTACACATTGTTATTTAAAAAGGATAACCAACAAGACCTACTGTATAGCACAGGGAACCCTGCTCAATGTTATGTGGCAGTCTGGATGGGAGGGGAGTCTGGGGGAGAATGGATACATGTATATGTATGGTTGAGTCGCTTTGCTGTGCACCTGAAACTACCACAATATTGTTATCGGCTATACTCCAATATAAAATAAAAGTTTAAAAAAGATCAGTTTATATAAAAAAACTAAATATAGATATTGAACAGCAAAAAAAAATATAAGGTTTTGGTTTTTTTGTTTGTTTGTTTGTTTTGGTTGTGCCACACGGCCTGTAAGATTTTAGTTCCCGGACCAGGGACTGAATCCTGGCCCTCAGCAGTGAGAGCGTGGAGTCCTAACCACTGGATCGCCAGGAAATTCCCAAGTCCAAGGTTTTTAGTTCCACTACCTGGGTCTCCAGAGCAGATTCGAGTTGTTCCACTTTGCCTTCAGTGGAGCAAAGGATAAAGTACATGGGCAGTAGGTGAGGGTGTCTCTCTCTCCTGTGAAACTTTTACTGAATAGAATGCATTTAGCTAAATCTATAACTTCAAACCATTTACCCATGTTATTTTGAATGTCATCCATTAAGGTGATGATATTTGGTAGGGATGTTATAATGAAGGGAGTAGTCTTGTTTAACCCTCTATAGTCTGTAGGCAGCCTCCATATATTCATACTGGCTCAGGACACACCAGGGAACTGAAAGGTGACATGGTAGGAATCAGTACCTTCTTTCAGTAAGTCAGCTATGACAGACTGTAATCCTTCAGCGCCTGTCCTTAGCCAGTACTGTGGCATATTGGTCACGCACATGGGTAGGAGAAAGTTAACTGGTTCCCACCAGGTGACACCCACCATAGCAAAAGCTTTAGGCTTGTTTCATGAGGTTGACCAAGGAGGTCCATTCCAATAATGGGAAAAGGGAGAGTCTGGGAGGAACAACCAGGACAGAAGCATCTCTTAGCAAAAGTGGGCCGATTTTAATAGTTAAGCAGGTAATTGCCCTTTTAACTCATTCTCCTCCCAATTCATTCACTTCCTGGGGTGAAGGGGGAGTGCTTCTTGGGGGGAAGTCCTTAAGGAGAGAGATGATGTGTATTTCCTCCTTCAAGAGAGAATCAGCGCCTCTTTTTTTGGCCTTCTCCTTTTGCCCTTTTGGTCTTTTGTTACTTTTTGGATGGTCACTGGCAAAGCAGAGGATAAAGTTATCTCAGTTTCTACACAGTATTCCTATTGTGGGACACCGTGCTGCATTTTTTTTCTCCAGTAGAGGGCACCAGACCTTTTTTTCCAGGATCCTCCACTCCATCACTTCTCATCTCCCCAAGAGTTTGGGCTCCTACCTCCTCTCTAGGTGTCCTCCTGGTGAGAAGCTCCCTTAAGCAGGGCCTAACGCCCATCTCGTGGTTTGGAGCATTCTTTTAGTAGGGTAAGCCATCTCCTTTGGGCTCCTAGGGAGGCAGGGATATAAACTTCCTTGACTTTGGTTACTTTAAGCAGTGTTTTAGTTGGGCCAGCCCAAGGGTTGGGGATGCGGTCTCAATATCCCTCTGCGGAGCAGCGAGAAAGATGCTGTCCTTCACAGCAGATCTGACTGGGTCACAGCAGAGGCGTGCTGGCTGTGGACAAAGATGCCTCCCCTAACTGTGCTTCGGAGACCGGCCTTGGCTTGCCATTTCTGCCTTATTGGCTAGTTAACCTGCTATAGTGGTCCCCAGGGATGAGGACATCGTCTTGTCTCAAAGTGCCCCAAATCACCATCCTGACTGTGGGACCTCCTCTTGCTACAGTCCCACCCCTCGACCTGATCCCACCCTAAACTCAGCTCTTTGGAATATTCAACTAAGCCACGCCCCTAGGCCTGGTCGCGCCCCATCTCCGCCCCACAGGCCTAGTCAACCAAGCCCCGCCCATAGCCTGGTCCCGCTCCAGGCCCTCTCCAACCCCAAGTCCTAGGATGACCCGGCCCCAAGACCCAGCCGCGTCTCTCCGTGGAAGGAAACTAGTACTTCTCCTCCACTTGCGGCTGGAAGCTGCCACCGCCCCTCCCAACCCAAATTTCCCAGCTCCCGAGGCCCGGTCCCTAACGCTGTGCGTGGCGCAGAAACCGGAAGCAGCCGTGCACTTCTGCGCGTGCGCAAGCCGGCGGCCATGTCCCCTTGCAACCCCGTCTAAATCTGATGTAAATTTTAGCCTCGGTCCGCGTCCTACCCGGTTCAGCCCAGCCCGCCCCAAGTCTGGTGCGCGGGAGGTGGAGAGCTTGGCCTTGGGGTCAGAGGCCAAAAGGCGGCCGCTTGGGCTGTGCCCACCGCTCCACGCTGGGACACCCGCGCCCGGGGCCTCCAGCAGCCGCGGCTGGTACCAAACTCACTGAATCAGGAACTCTGTGAGGGTCCAGCAGTCGGGGTGAGTCTGCTGCAGGCGAGAGTTGGAGAGCCATCCTCGTATTTAATCGGCCTCCAAAATCATCCTCGCTCTCTTTCCAGAAAGGAAAAGCATCCCTGCCATTCGGGTCACGGGGACGAGAGTCTCAACCTCGTCTCTGCGCAGGTCTGTGGATTTCGGCTTGTTCTGTGAGAATGGGGTGACATTTGCCTAACTCCGTCCCCACCTCTCCCTTCCTGATGCGAGAGATATTATTTTTAACCTGTGATTTTTTTTTTTCTCTTCCTGTGGGCATCAGTTTGCTACATTATATTCAGCTGCATAAAAGTGAACTGATTACTTAGTATTTTTTTAATCCCCCTTGCCAGTTGCAGCTCTAAATGTTAGTCATTTATCTGTAGATATTTTTTGAATTTCACACCGAAAGTGTGATCATATGTCAGTTTCTGCGTTTTCTTTCTTATTTTGTGTACCTTATATTCTTTTTATTTATTTAGTGCGTTTGCCAGGACTTTCAGTTCAATGTAGAATAGCATTTAAGTTGCATCCTTGTCTTGTTCCTGATCCCAGAGGGAATTATTCTGCCATTTCACCATTAAATAGGATGTTTGCTGTAGGTGTTTGTAAATAATATATATTTTTTCTAATTAAAGCCTATTTCCCTCTAGTCCTAGTGGGTTAAATTATTATCATCAATGCATATTGATAGAGATCAGTCACTATTTTATATCGAAGGGGATGAGTCATGTGATCTTTTTCTATTAATGTGAATCATATTAATCAGTTTAATTATGTTAATCATTTTAACCACACTTCATTCCTAGGAGGAAATGAACTTATTTTGTGATTATTATCTTCATTATTCGTTTCTGGACTGTACTAATATTTTAATATTTTGCCCTTGTGTATATGAATGAGATCTTTCATATATTTATGTGTGTGTGTGTGTGTATACACATATATTTGAGTTTTGAGTACTTTTCTGGTCTTGGAAATACACAGGAAAACAGCACCCCCCACCCCCCCAAAAAATGGAATTATGAATCCTTTACTTACTTGGTGAACCTGTCTGTAAAACAATCTGCAACTTCTGTTTCCTTTGTAGGTATGTTCTAAACTGCTAATTTTTTTCTTTAATGACTGGATGTAAACAGGTTTTGTGTTTATATTCATTTATTTATTTTATTTTATTTTTTGGTCCTGCAGCATGCGGGATCTTAGCTCCCTGACCAGGGATCGAACCCGTGCCCCCTGCGTTGGAAGCGCAGAGTCTTAACCACTGGACTGCCAGGGAAGTCCCTATATTTTTAAATTTTTTTAACATTTTTTTTCACTTTATTATTTTTTTAATTCAAGTATAGTTGATTTACAATGTTGTGTTAATTTCTGCTGTACAGCAAAGTGACTCAGTTATACACATATATACATTCTTTTTTAATATTCTTTTCCATTATGGTTTATCCCAGGATACTGAATATAGTTCCCTGTGCTATACAGTAGGATCTTGTTGTTTATCCATTCTATATGTAATAGTTTGCATCTGCTAACCCCAAACGCCTAGTCTATCCCTGTCCCACCCTTTCTCCCCCTTGGTAAACACAAATCTGTTCTCCATATCTGTGAGTCTGTTTCTGTTTTGTAGATAGTTTCATTTGTGCCATATTTTAGATCCACATATAAGTGATATCATATGGTATTTGTCTTTCTCTTTCTGACTTACTTAGTATGATAATTTCTAGTTGCATCCATGTTGCTGCAGATAGCATTATTCCCTTCTCTTTTTATGGCTGAGTAGTATTCCATTGTGTATATGTACCACATCTTCTTTATCCATTCATCTGTTCATGGACATTTAGATTGTTTCCATGTCTTGGCTATTGTGAATAGTGCTGCTTTGAACATAGGGGTGCATGTATCTTTTTGAGTTATAGTTTTCTCTGGGTATATGTCCAGGAGTGGGATTGCTGGGTCATATGTTAATTCTATTTTTAGTTTTTTGAGGAACCTCTATACTGTTTTCCATAGTGGCTGCACCAACTTACATTCCCACTAACAGTGTAGGAGGGTTCCCTTTTCTCCACACCCTCTCCAGTGCTTGTTATCTGTAGACTTTTTAATGATGGCCATTCTGACCAGTGTGAGGTGGGGTACCCCATTATAGTTTTGATTTGCATTTCTCTAACAATTAGCGTTGTTGAGCATCTTTCCATGTGCCTATTTGCCATCTGTATGTCTTTGGAGAAATGTCTATTCAGGTCTTCTGCTGTTTTGTTTTGTTTTTTTTTTGGCTGTGTGGCATGTGGTATCTTAGTTCTCCGACCAGGGATCACATCCGTGCCTCCTGCATTGGAAGTGTGGAGTCTTAACCACTGGACTGCCAGGGAAGTCCTTCTGCCCATTTTTTGATCGGGTTGTTTGTTTTTTTGTTGTTGAGTTGTATGAGCTGTTTGTGTATTTTTGAAATTAAGCCTTGCTGGTTGCATTATTTGTAAATATTTTCTCCCATTCCATAGGTTGTCTTTTCATTTTGTTTATGGTTTCCTTTGCTGTGCAAAAGCTTGTAAGTTTGATTAGGTCCCATTTACTTTTGTTTTTATTTCTGTTGCCTTGGGAGACTGACCTAAGAAAACATTGGTACAATTTATGTTGGAAAATGCTTTGCCTATGATCTCTTCTAGGAGTTTTATGGTGTCACACCTTATGTTTAAGTCTTTAAGCCATTTTCAGTTTGTTTTTGTGTATGGTGAGAGGGTGTGTTCTTTTTTTTTAATTTTTATTGGAGTATAGCTGATTTACAATTTTGTATTAGTTTCAGGTGTACAGCAAAGTGAGTCAGTTATACATATACATATATAGATATATAGATAGATATATATATATATACTCTTTTTTAGAGTCTTTTCCCATATAGGTCATTACAGAGTACTGAGTAGAGTTCCTGTGCTATACAGTAGGCCCGTATTAGTTATCTATTTTATATATAGTAGTGTGTATATGTCAGTCCCAGTCTCCCACTTTATCCCTCTCCCTCCTTGCCCCCTTGGTAACCATAAGTTTGTTTTATACATCTATGACTCTATTTCTATTTTGTAAATAAGTTCATTTGTACCTTTTTTTAGATTCCACGTATAAGCAATATCATATGATATTTGTCTTTCTCGTCTGACTTACTTCACTCAATATGACAGTCTCTAGGTCCATCCATGTTGCTGCAAATGGCATTATTTCATTCTTTTTTATGGCTGACTAATATTCTACTGTATATAGATATTCTAATATAGATATACTAATATTCTACTGTATATATATATTCTACTGTATATATACATCTTCTTTATCCACTCCTCTGTTGATGGACATTTAGGTTGCTTCCATGTCTTGGCTATTGTAAATAGTGCTGCAGTGAACTTTGGGGTACATGTATCTTTTTGAATTATGGTTTTCTCCAGATATATGCCCAGGAGTGGGATTGCTGGATCATATGGTAGTTCTATATTTAGTCTTTTAAGGAACTCCATACTGTTCTCCATAGTGGCTGTACCAATTTACATTCCCACCAACAGTGTAGGTTTCCCTTTTCTCCACCAGTGAGGTTGTGTTCTAATTTCATGATTTACATGCAGCTGTCCAACTTTCCCAGCTACACTTGCTGAAGAGACTGTCTTTTTCCCATTGTGTATTCTTGCATCCTTTGTTGAAGATTAATTGACCGTAGGCGTGTGGGTTTATTTCTGGGCTCTCTGTTCTGTTCCATTGATCTGTATGTCTGTTTTTGTGCCAGTACCACACTGTTTTGATTACTGTAGCTTTGTAGTATTGTCTGAAGCCTAGGAGGGTTATGCCTTTCGCTTTGTTCTTTTTCCTCAGGATTGCTTTGGCAATTCTGGGTCTTTTATTGTTCCATATAAATTTTAGGATTATTCTAGTTCTGTAATGTCATGGGTAATTTGATAGGGATGGCATTAAATCTGTAGATTGCTTTGGGTAGTATTGCCATTTAGCTTTATCTGATTCTGTTTAAGTTTTTAAAAATATTGTTAATTTTGTCACATACTCATTTTTTTCCCTAAACCTTTATGCTGTTCTTTTTCTGCCCTTATAAGTCAATGGTTAACCCATTGATACTGAGTTTTCTTCTACAGGAATGGATGATATTTGTAAATACAATTAACCCTTGAGCAACATGGGTTTGAAATGCACGCGTCCACTTATATGCAGATTATTTTCAGTACTAAATACTACAATACTACAGGATCAGTGGTTGGTTGAGTCCTTGGATACTGGGGGCTATGAGTTATACTCAAATTTGCTACTGCCGGAGGGTTGGTGCCCCAACCCCTGCAATTGTTCAAGGGTCAGTTGTATATAAATATATGTACCACACCAGCCATGGATTTCTAGTGTTATCTGAAACAGTTATTTTAATTTCCTGCTTCTACCCTGTCACATAAGTAGTCCTGATTTGCTAAAGATAAATATGTGTGTATCTCCTTATCCCTATAATGTGATGCATTTTTATATAGCATATACCACCAGATAAAGCTAAATCAGATTGTTAATTTAGTGGTCCTCCTTCAAATGATTATAAGACCCAGGCACTTTAGTATTTTTCTGTTTTGTTCAGTGCTGTGTCTCCTGTGACTGCACATAGTAGGACAGGGTGAATATTACCGAAATAAATATGAGATGAAGGAGCAGGAGGTCAGGGCCTTAAGGGAAGCATCCCTGCTAAAGACATAGGGCTTAGTCAAGAGAAGGAGCTCAAAGATAAAACACTTGAATAGAATACTTCATTTGTCTACTCTCCATAGTGTGCCCAACAGGGTTCTAGGCCAGACCCTGGTAATGTTAGGGCATAAGGGCCTCACTGACAACTAAATTGTAGGGTATATGTTCAGAAATACACTCATTGGGCATTTAGGCTTTGAAGGTAAATACAGCTGCATACACACAGCTCCTCAGCAGCTTTCTAATTGGGTAGCATTGAGCACATAGTTAAGTGACTCTTTCCAAGATTCTTCAACTATAAACTCGTTTTGATAGGATCTGATTTGCAGAGTTTCTATGAATAATCTTTTTGCAGAGGTATGGGCATCTCTTTGCCAAGTCATTCTCATATCTTGGTTGCTTAAATGGAGCATGTTAGTAAAGAATGTTACAGTTTGTATTGGCTTTGAAATACATACTTCATCCACGGCAGTGGAAGAAACTGTTGCATTTTCGTTATTTGAAATTTGTGCAGTAGTGCTACAGATATCACTGTGAGAGATGACACACACTGCTAACTTCACTCCGAGTGTTCTTGTTCTGCTGCTGCTGTACCTCCTGTACAATTCCTGCAGAATTGAGTAGGAGAAGTCTTCTCTTGCCACCTGCGTGTGGAATTCAGTCAGTTGATGCTCTTTCTCAAAAACCAGGTTTTGGGGACCCTGTAGCCCTTGTGGGAGAGGGTCTAGTAGTCAGGGGCTGAGGAGTAATACATGTTAGCCTGACAAGCAGTACAGAAATAAATATTGGAAGTGGAACCCCCGGAAGTCTGGCATACAGGTCACACTTTCCTGGATTTGAGATGGTGTGTATATTCTTACTATTGAAGGCATTCTCTGATTTTTTTTTTTATGTTTTCATTATTATGGTCAAATTGACAGTTAAATTTTTTTAGACTACAGTTAACTTGCTTACAAAATGGGACTCTTAACCTGTTTTTTTTATGATCTACAAGAACCAGAGGACTGTTTTATAGCTCTAGAGGAGATAAGATTGCTCTAACTTCTTCCCCCCTCCCTCTGTTTTCTGACAAGATTGATGTGTGTTTGCTTGGGTGTCTTGGGGCTATGCATGTCTGTGTGTGTGTGTGTTTTGAGGGGAGTGATCACTCCTAACAGATATGCTGCAAAATCCACAGTCTTGATTATGGAAATTGTGGGGAGACCCAGATTCTCGTGTCTTCTTTCTCCTGCCTCAGGTCTAACTTGTCAATACTCTGTCTTTCTTCATGAAGGGAACATGGAGGAAGAAAGAACAGCTGCTGAGTTACAGAAAAATATGACACAGGTGAGTAAGAGCTAATAATTCTCCAAAAGAATATTTCAGTTCCACCGGGCCATTGATCTCCTAATTGTTTAGAGCAGGGGTCAGCAACCTGTTCCTGCATTGGGCCACATAGTAAGCATTTTAGGCTTTGAAGGCCATAGAGTTTCTGTTTTACTCAGTTCTGCCATTTTAGTGTGAAAGCAGCCATATACAGTGGATAAACAAATGTTTTATTGTGTTCCAATAAAACTTTACTTACATAAATAGATGATAGGCTGAATTTAGCTCATGTTGTATAATTTACAGCCCCTGGCCTTGAGTGCAAGAAAATGTGGCCGGCTGTGGGCCTGGGTTGAATGTTGTGCTTCTTGCAGACTCCTGGGCCCCAGGTTTGTGGGGAAAGAAAAAAAGAAAAAGAAAAGCTCTCTGTCCCTCAGTGTGTTTTTATTCATTAAAACCTCATCCAGATTTGACCCAGTGTTTCGTGTTGTGCTGATTGCTGTGGTGGGATATAAGGAAGCAGTGAAATTTTTTCTGTAACAAGGAATTTTTGCTGGTTTCAATGTAGAAATTATTATTTCATTTCTAGAGCATTTCATTTCTGCTAGATCCTCTGGATGTTCTGGATTATTGTAAGACTGGAATTGGTCACCATCAAACTGTGGAAAGATAAATTTATTGTTTCAAAAGTGTTGTTAAATCTGTGAGAAAATTTGATCAGTCAGGATGCTTATGTAGAACGAAGAAGATCTGATGACTGAATCCTAGGGTAGATGTTGGGAGAATAGAATCTTCTGAACTTCCTATGAATTGATTCTCAGTTCCTCAGTATTTCCAGCCTCATTCATCCTCCTGCACACATTGGGGGAGTTGGCACTTTTCTGAACAAAATATGTGGAATGTTTTAGGAACCAGTGGTCTTTGAGGATGTGGCTGTGGACTTTACCCAGGAGGAGTGGGCTTTGCTAGATCTCGCTCAGAGAAACCTCTACAGAGATGTGATGCTGGAAAACTTCCGGAACCTGGCCTCATTAGGTAAGTGTGGCAACATTCCTTCATTTAGTCGTTTAGAAAACAGTTTTATCTTACTAATTGACTTTGTTCTAGGATTTGGGTTGAGGAATTGGAATAAATTGGTAAATAAGACAGATATGGTCACTGACCCCAAGGAACTTATAGTCTAGTGGCTTCACCATGAAAATAAACAATAACAATGCATATTGTTAAAATATTCTACCAGTATAAAACAGCAACAGAAAAAGAATCAGTGGAAATCTCCTTATCCATTCTGACACTGGCACTGAATGCAGACTTTTCATTTCATCCAGTGTTATAAAGATGCTGTTGGTCTTATTTTTCTTCATTCAGTCATTCTTTCATTCATTAAGCATTTTTTTGAGGGTGAACTCTATATCAAACCCTTTTGAATGTATACTATAAAAAACAAGATGTGACTGTATTCAAAATGCTTAGGTGTAATGGGCAAGAAGATAAATATGAAATTAAGATTAAAAAAGAAAGAAAATAAACGTGTATTGAACTGACTTTCTCTTTTTCTTGTGGTTGGAAGCCTCAAGGCTTATTAAGTGTAGAAATTGTGGGCACAGACTTCGGGGGTCATTTTGGGGCACAGGGAGAAAATTGGTGGTTTGGGACCTTTTGAGAATTTTACAGCTGTTAGTGCCCTGTACCCAGAGACCACCAGTTAAGCAAGTTGGGTTTATTACTTTGAGCAGTGAGGGAGAACACATGCCATGGGGAGCCATGGCATGTCTCAGAAAGAAGGTGTTAGAAAGTAAATATTATAGGATTTGTGTACTTAGGTTGAATGACTTGGGGGTAGGTCTGTGGAAGCAGGCTGTATTGGTTTCCTAGGCCTTCCATAACAAAGCACCACAAACTGGGTGGCCAAGAACAACAGAACCTTATTCTTTTAAATTTCTGGAGGTTGGAAGTCTGAAATCAGGGTGTCACAACCCTTCCGAAGGCTCAGGAAAAATCTCTCCTTGTCCCCTTCCTAGCTGTTGGTGGTTGCCAGCAATCCTTGGCTTGCAGCTGCATCACTCTAATCTCTGCCTCCATCTTCACATGGCCTTCCTCCTCTGTCTCTAAGTCTTTCTGTCCTTGTAAGGACGCCAGTCATTGCATTTAGGGCCTACCCTAATCCAGAATAACTTACCTTAACTTGATTATATCTGCAAAGACCCTATTTCCAAATAAAGTAACATTCTGAAATTATGGGAGGACAGGGATTTTTTTCTCAGTACACTTTATTTTTCTTAGAGCAGTTTATAGGTTCACAGCAAAATTGAGTAACAGGTACAGATAGATATTTCCCATATACCCCCTGTCCCCATACACTCACAGCCTTCCTACCAGAGTGGTATATTTGTTACAGTTGATGAACCTACACTGACACATCATTATCACCTTAAGTCCAGAGTTTATATTAGTGTTCACTTTTGGTGTTGTATATTTTAAGGTTTGGACAAATATATAATGACATATCCACCATTATAGTATCATAAAGTAGCTTCACTACCCTTAAAAATTCTGTATCCCCTTCACCCCAATTTATCTCTCCTTCCCCACAACTCCTGGCAACAACTGATCTTTTTACTGTCTCCATAGTTTTGCCTTTTCCAGAATGTCATGTAGTTGGAATCACACAGTATATATATATAACCTCTTCAGACTGGCTTCTTTCACTTAGTAATATGCATTTAAGGTTTTCCCACCTCTTTTCATGGCTGGATAGCTCATTTCTTTTTAGTGCTGATTAATATTTTATTGTCTGGATGTACCACAGCCTGTTTATCCATTCACCCACTGAAGAACATTTTGATTGCTTCCAAGTTTTGGCAATTATGAATAAAGCTGCTGTAAACATCCACATGCAGGTTTTTGTGTAGACATGTTGTTAACTCCTTTGGGTAAATTCCAGGGAGTGCAATTGCCTGTCTGTATGGTTAAGAGTATGTTTGGTTTTGTAAGAAACTGCCAAACTGTATTCCAAAGTGACTGTACCATTTTGCATTCCCACCAGCTCCACATTCTCAAAATTCTTTGTTGTCAGTGTTCCGGATTTTGGCCATTCTTATAGGTGTATAGTGGTATCTCATTGTTTTGATTTGCATCTTCCTGATGACATATGATGTGGAACATCTTTTCATATGCTTATTTGCCATCTGTGTATCTTCCTTGATGAGGTATCTGTTAAGGTTTTTGGCCCATTTTTTAAATCGGGTTGTTTGTTTTCTTTATTTTTGAGTTTTAAGAATTCTGTGTATATTTTGGATAACACTTCTTTATCAGATATGTCTTTTGCAGATAATTTCTTCCAGTCTGTGGCTTTTTATTCTCTTGGCAGTTTTTTCTCAGAGCAAAAGATTTTAATTTTAATGAAGTCCAACTTGTCAATTCTTTCTTTCATGAATTGTGTCTTTCAGGTCATTATCTGTTGACCTTAAAAATAAGATAGTTATTTTACCAACAAAAATGGTTTATTTGGGCATAGCAGAGGAATTGCAATTTAGGACAAGAAAGCTATAACAAAAGCCATAGGCAAGTCCAAAAAACAAGGGAGAAGAACATAATTTTATAGAGAAAAAGGAGGAATTTGGGAGAGGTTGTTTTGGATGAAAGTCTATTGGAGAAAAATGAGAGTTCAGGGTGATGATGGTTTCATATTGGCTTAGTTGCTGGGGTAGTTGATTTCTTATAGGGGATGCAATGTACATCTTTTCCTGTCAGGATTATAACTGGTGATTCTTGATGATTCTTTTTTTTTTTTTTTTTTTTTTTTTGCGGTACACAGGCCTTTCACTGTTGTGGCCTCTCCTGTTGCGGGGCACAGGCTCCAGACGCGCAGGCTCAGCAGCCATGGCTCACGGGCATAGCCGCTCCATGGCATGTGGGATCTTCCCAGACCGGGGCACGAACTCATGTCCCCTGCATTGGCAGGTGGACTCTCAACCACTGCGCCACCAGGGAAGCCCTGATGATTCTTTTGTTGGAGCCTGTAATCGACAATTCTTCCTGTAATTTGTTTTTTTATAAATTTATTTATTTTTGGCTGCATTGAGTCTTTCTTGCTGCACGCGGGCGTCCTCTAGTTGCAGTGAGTGGGGGCTACTCTTCGTTGTGGTGCACAGGCTTCTCATTTTGGTGGCTTCTTGTTGTGGAGCATGGGCTCTAGGCATGTGGACTTCAGTAGTTGTGGCACGTGGGCTCAGTAGGTGTGGTTCATGGGCTCTAGAGCACAGGCTCAGTAGTTGTGGCACACGGACTTAGTTGCTCCATGGCAAGTGGGATCTTCCCGGACCAGGGCTCGAACTGGTGACCCCTGCATTGGCAGGCGGATTCTTAACCACTGCGCCACCAGGGAAGCCCTCTTCCTATAATTGATGTCCTGTGGAACTGCATGAAAGCTTCCCCTTCCAGCCTCTCAACTCCATTTTAGTGAAGTTTCGTCTGATTAATTTTCACCTAACAAGTCATCGCCAAATCTTAGGTCACCTACATTTTTTCCTATGTTATCTTCTAGGAGTTCTATAGTTTTATGTTTTACATTTAGATCTGTGATCTATTTTGAGCTAATTTTTTACTCCCTATTGATGGGGCCCCAACTTTTCCTGAAGCTTTGGATGCCTCCCCCTGTATTTTGAGTTAATTTTTGCAAGAGTGTAAGGTCTGTGTCAAGACCTTTTTTTTTTTAAATGTATGTTAATGTCTAGTAGTTATTTTAGCACTGTTTGTTGGAAAGACTATATTTTTCTCCATTGTATTGCCTTTGCACCTTTGTCAAAGATAAGTTGACTATATTTATGACTATATTTATATTGACTTATTTATGGACTGTATTCTGTTCCATTGATCTGTTTGGACATGAAATTTTTTTTATATTATGCTGTCATTTATTTATTTATTTTTATTGGAGTAGAGTTGCTTTACAATGTTGTGTTAGTTTCTGCTGTACAGCAAAGTGAGTCAGTTATACGTATACATATTTCCACTCTTTTTTAGATTTCCTTCGTATTTAGGTCACCACAGATCATTGAGTAGAGTTCCCTGTGCTGTACAGTAGGTTCTCATTAGTTGTCTATTTTATACATAGTAGTGTATATATGGACATGAATTTTTTAGGGGCACCATTCAACCCAGTCCCTACGTGTTCACTTTAGATTGGATGCTGACAGAAATCTGGATGCAGGGGAAATTCTATTAGTATTTTGTGGATGGCACAGTGATATTTTTTGTCTGTCCCTAGACTAAATTATGAAGTAGCCTTATTTTGTTTCATCTTATCATGGTCTCAGAGTAACCTTGTCTGAGATTGGTATTCTGAGATTATTTATCTTCAACAGGAGAACAGTATGTCCTGCCTGTGAATATTGGACCAGTTTCTAATAATACTGAGGTTTAGGTGTGAATGTCAGATCAGTTCTAGACATCACACCACCCCCTCCCACCTTAAAAAAATAAATTCAACATTTTGTTGCAATTAAGCTCCTACTTGCTTTAGAGTAACAGAAGAGCAAAGTTTTTGCCCTGTCTCATGGAAATGTTTATGGTTCCTCATTGTTTTCCCTCATGATATACCTTTCCACATGAACAGGGTATCCACTACACACACCCTATCTGATCTCCCAGTGGAAACAAGAGGAGGACCTGGAGATAGCAGAGAGAGGACCCACCCAGGGGGAGCATCAGGAAGGCAAGAATCCTTGGGAGAAACTGACTTGGTTGGGGGATATTACATTTGGAAAAATCAAATAAAAGCAAAGTGAAACTTTGCCATGTCTGAGGAAGCTGATCTTCCACAGATAACTTCGATTACTATTTTGACTTTTCATCAGTCCTTGTTCTTGGGAAAGCCCATATTTCCTCTTTGTAATGTAGTGTTCGGTCATGCGCATTTTACCCAGTTCCTTTTTGTTTTGCTCCCCTAGGAATACCCTATTTATGTTACCATCAGTCTCAATCTTTGTGGGATTATTTCTTAATTGCTTGGCCATTTTGACCCTGTGCTTATTGGGAAAGTCCTGAACCAGCCACACTGCCAAAAGTCCTTCTTTCATGATGCCTTTACTTTTTTGTTTCAGGTTTTGAGACTCAACTTAAAACTAATGAATTAGTCGCTGCACAAGATATTTATGGAGAAAAAATATCCAGCGAACAGAATGTAGTAAGATTCAAAAGGAGTGCTTCCTCGTTGTCCATTTTACACAAAAGCTGGGAATACCATGGTTTTGATTATCAGAACAAAAACCGTGAGAGACATTTGAGGTGAGTGATATTCATATAAGAGAGAGTAGTGTCTCAGGAGAGAATCTTAAAATGTCACGAAATTAAAAAAACATGTATATAAAACTTGGTCAAAAATTGTGATTTCATATGGAATTTTCGTAAGGTATTTTTTCCACAAATGAGACTGAGCTCTTCCATGTTTGACACATAATTTCATTTGTAAGCAACCATCAGAAAAACCCCATAAGCCAAAAACTCAGTGATAATATTGGCTATCGTAGAGCCCTCTGTGAGAACCTTCAGCTTATCATTGGACAGGGAAGGAAACAGATGTAGTCACTGAAAATGGTAAAAATTTACTTGCTGCTAATAATGTGCTTTTTATTTTTTAAAAGAAGTCACATGGTGGAGAACATCTATGAACATAACGAAGAAAATCAGTGTAGACAAACCTTCAGCCATATCTCAAATCTTAATATACTCAAGAGAACTACTGAAGTAAAAGTCTTTGAATGCCAAGAGTGTAAAAAGGCCTTCACAGATCATTTATCCCTTAAGAATCACATAAGGTCTCACACTGGAAGCAAACCCTATCAGTGTAAGGAATGTGGGAAAGCTTTCCATTTTTTTGCTTGTTTTAAGAAGCATATGAAAACTCCCACTGAAGAGAAACCCTATGAATGTAAGGAATGTACCAAAGCCTTCAGTTGTTCTTCATTCTTTAGGGCGCATATGAAGATTCACACAGGAAAGACAAACTATGAATGCAAGGAATGTGGGAAAACCTTTAGCTGTTCTTCATCCCTTACAGAGCACAAAAGAATTCACAGTGGAGATAAGCCTTATGAATGTAAGGAGTGTGGGAAAGCCTTTAGTTGTTCCTCCTCACTCTCCAAACACAAAAGAATTCACAGTGGAGATAAGCCATATGAGTGTAAGGAGTGTGGGAAGGCCTTCAGTTCCTCTTCTCACCTTATAATACATATAAGAATCCATACTGGAGAGAAGCCTTATGAATGTAAAGAGTGTGGGAAAGCCTTCAGTGAGTCCTCAAAGCTCACTGTACATGTCAGAACACATACGGGAGAGAAACCCTATAAATGTAAGGAATGCGGGAAAGCCTACAATTGTCCATCCTCCTTAAGTATCCATATGAGAAAACACACTGGGGAGAAACCCTATGAATGTCTGGAATGTGGAAAAGCCTTCTATCTTCCCACTTCCCTGAATACACATGTGAAAAATCAAAGTAGAGAGAAACCCTACGAATGTAAGGAATGTGGAAAAGCCTTCAGTTGTCCCTCGTCCTTTAGAGCACATGTGAGAGATCACACTGGAAAGGTGCAGTACGAATGTAAGGAATGTGGGAAGGCCTTTAGTCGTTCCTCATCCCTCACCGAACACTTAAGAACTCACAGTGGAGAGAAGCCTTATGAATGTAAGGAATGTGGGAAAGCCTTTATTAGTTCCTCCCACCTTACGGTACATACAAGAACTCACACTGGAGAGAAACCTTATGAATGTAAGAAATGTGGAAAAGCCTTCATTTACCCCTCAGCCCTTAGGATCCACATGAGAACGCACACTGGGGAGAAACCCTATGAATGTAAGGAGTGTGGGAAAGCCTTTCGCCATTCTTCATACCTTACTGTCCACACAAGGATGCACACTGGAGAGAAACCCTTTGAATGTGTGGAATGTGGGAAAGCATTCAGTTGTCCTTCATCCTTTCGAAGACACGTAAGAAGCCACACTGGTGAGAAGCCCTATGAATGTAAGGAGTGTGGGAAAGCCTTTGTTTGTCCCGCTTACTTTCGAAGACATTTGAAAACTCACACTAGAGGAAACATATAAAGTAAGGAATAAGGAAATGTCTGCAAGACTTTTTCAGATCTTAGCACGCAAGGTCTCACACTGTGGAGACACCCTGTGAATGTAAGAAATTGTCGCTCATCGTTTTGAAGACTTGAGAACTCACAACTAAGAGAAACCCTGTGTATGTAAATCATGTGGTAACACCTTCGTGAACGTCACTTACTGTGTTCTAAGAAAATTCATACTAGAAGCAAAGATTGGTGCCTCATCCTTAAAGTGGACTACTGCTGGCTTGTTGATTTCCAGTTTTAATTTTCTGATGAATGTTTAATGTGATAAATTTCTCCTAATACCTTTCAGCTGTAGCTGCATATGTTTTATGAGGTGCTTTTGTTTTGGTTTGGATGTAAATGTTATTTCCATTACAGAGTTTTTTGGACCCATCGGGGAGTTGAAGTGTATTTTTTTGTATGCAGGCATGAGTGGTCTTTTTTTATTATTATTATTAGTTTCTAATTTACTCTCATTGTTCTCTAAGTATGCAGTCATTGTGGTTATCAACACTTCGGTATTTGTAATTTCTTTTGTAAATGGTAATTTCATTTTGATCTAATATGGCAGAAACTGGAAATTGCCTACCCAATATTTCCCCACCCCCCCCTTTTTTTTTTGGTGGTACGCGGACCTCTCACTGTTGTGGCCTCTCCCGTTGCAGAGCACAGGCTCTGGATGCGCAGGCCCAGCAGCCATGGCTCACGGGCCCAGCTGCTGCACGACATGTGGGATCTTCCCGGACCGGGGCACGAACCCGTGTCCCCTGCATCGGCAGGCGGACTCTCAACCACTGCACCACCAGGGAAGCCCTACTTGTCCTTTTTTAATGTATGTGTATCTCTGTCTATATCTAGTTACATACATATACGTAAAACATGTTATAATACACGTAAATTATGTGTATTTTATATATGTGTGTGTGTATGTGTGTATTGCAGATAACTTTTCCCAGTCTCTGACATGTCTTCATGCTTTTCATTTTTGTAAACTATAAAGGGAATTTATTGGTTTGATTACTGAAAAATCCTTGGGTATAAGTAACTTCAGAGGTGGCTGGGTCCTGGAGCTAAAAAGATGTTATCTGGATGAGTTCTGTTTCCATGTCTTGTCTGTGCATCTTTCTGCATTAGCTATTCTTCCTTGTGGACTCTTTTTCTTCACAGTGGCCCTCAGAAGATCCAGGCTGCTTTCTTTCTGGGTTGAAGTCTCAAGGAGAAGAGAGTGATTGTCTTTCTGAACAATTCCAATATGATTATTACAGTTAAATCTGATTGGCTCACTTGCCAACTGTTATCGAATCACTGTGGCCAGAGGAATATAATTCTCTGGTTTGTTTAGGACTGGCTCCCATACTCATCCAGAAAAAGAGAGTGGAGTCAGTCCTAACTGAATCATAGGGTCCTGGCAATTGTGATGTATATGGTGAAGGGAAGGAGGCAGCGGGGGCAGGTAGGGTGTAGAAATAGATGCAATAATAACATCAGCTAGCACAATATGCTCATTCTGGTCTTAGCAATGGTAGGGAACTATGAAGTCTGGGAACTCTCAGCCAAGGCTAAGTAGTTCTAGAAATCCTTTCAGAAAGGTTCGATTCCGTCTGTTACCATCTCTTTAGATTGCTAAGATGGTTTCTCAATCTTTACTTGGTTTTGCAGTATTTTTGGATATCCAGTAGCAAGAGCCTTCCAACTTTTTTATTCATCAGGATTGTCTTCCTTCTCTATTCCTGATTTGATTCTATATTAATTTTAGATCTTACCAATTTTCACAAGTCTTCTGGGACTTTGCTTGGGATTGCATTGACTTTAGAGAATAACCTGAATAAAATTGACATCTTTACAATACTGAGTCTTCTAATTGATGAACATAGTATAATTATCCATTTATCTAGGTCGTCTTTAATTCCTCTTAACAGTGTTTTGTAGTTTTAATTGTAGAGGTCTTGAAGTAACTTTGTTTAGTTTATTTCTAGGTATGTGATATGTTTTCCTTTGTAAATATTTTTATTTATTTTTCGATTTTGGGGGCTAGCACATAGGATTGCAATTTCTTTTTGTACATTGATCTTTTATCCATGATATTTATAAATTCAATTATTTATTCCAATAGTTTATGAATTATTTTGGATTTTCTGTGTATACAATACTGTCAGTGCCAATAAAAGAAAGTCTTACTTGATTTCTAAACTTTACCTTTTATTTTTCTTGCCTCATTGCTTTATAGTGATAAATAGAAATGGTAAAAATGAACATCTTTGCCCTGTTCCTGATGTTAGGGGAAAGTATTCTATATTTTACCATTAAGTATAATAATAGCTGTAAGTTTTTCATAGATAACTTTTTTAAATGAAAGGAATTCTATTCCTCGATTATCAAAAGAGTTTTTTTTTTAATCATCAATGATATTGAATTTTATCTAGTGCCTTTTCTGTCTATGTCAGAGTCTTTAAAAACTCCTTTGGTCTCAATGTGGTGAATTACTACATTCCTTGATTTTCAAATGGTAAAACAAGATGTATTCCTGGAATAAACTATACTTGGAAATGGTATATATTAGCTTATTAGCCTTTTCATTTTGCTAGATTCAAAATGCTATTTAAAAAAAAATTATTTCTGTGTCTGTGTTAATGAGGCTTGTCTTGTAATTTCTTTTATGTTAATATACTTGTATGCTTTGTATCAGGTTTACGCTGCTTCATAAAAGAAGTTGGAAATTGTTTTGAAAAACTTTGCATGAAATTTAAACTATCTACTATCTATTTTTTATGTGTTTGGAAAAATTCACCTGGGAATCTAGTTTTGGGTTTTCTTCATAGGAAGCTTTTGTAAGATAGTTTCACTCATGAATTACACCAAACATAAATAGACAAACGGTTATTTAATTTTTTTATTTGTTTTTGTGTTAGTTTTGCTAAATTGTATCTGTCCATTCCATAACTTTCCAAATTTGTTGGCATAAAGTTATTCATAATATCCTATAATTTCTTTTTAATGTCTGAAAGCTGTAATTATATCCCCTTTTTCATTCCTGATCTTGGTAGTTTATGTGGTCCCTTTCTTTTTCTTCATCTTGGTGGGGATTTTGATATGTTAATTATTTTTGAAGAACCAACTCTCAGTTTATTATGCTTCTAATTCTTTAATTTTTGGTCTTATTCCTTCTACTGAATTTGGGTTTAATTTTCTCTTATTTCCCTAGCTATTTGTGATAGTCACTTGTATCAGTGCCTGCCTTCTACTGTGTCCAATTTGCTTATATAACCATCCAATCAGAATATTCTACTATTAGCATTATCAGTTGAAATGCATTTGAGATATATGCAGAGGATCACCTTTATGTGCCTGTTATCATAAGGCCGTATGGCTTCCTTTTTGGAATGGAAAGAAAACTGGACTGGAATCAAGGCACCTGATTTCTAGTCTTCACTTCTCAACTTTACCTCTGTGACCTTTGAAAAAAGTCATTTAAGCTTTCTGGTCCTTAGTTTGTGTGTGTGTGTGTGTGTGTGTGTGTTAAAGTCTTTATTATGTAATAATTACAAGTTCATATTTTTGTAAAAAAAAATGTATATGGAAGTCCCATGTATTCATCACCCAGTTTCCTCCAGTGGAAATCCACAGAACTTATTCAGATTTCACCAATTTTAAATATGTGTGTGTGTGTGTGTGTGTGTTTGCAGTTTTAGCACTTGTGTAGATTAATGGAACCACTAACCTGTTTTACCCTTATAAATGACATCCATATCTCCTCAGTAGTTAAAGTAAAATTTATGACTAGTCCTGGATTTCTTCTTTTAAAGTGACTGACACTTCATAATGACTCAAACATTTGTTGAATAAATACATTTACCTGTGCTTTCTGCTAATAAGGTATATAGGACACAGTGTTCTGATCAGATCTATCCTGCAATTCATCATACACATTGTTTTATGAAATATGATAAGAATTCTAAACCCAGTACCTCCCTCTGTGAGGCCAGATTATCCAGAGAAGCTCTAAATTACCTGCTTTTCTGTTACCTTTCTCAATCATAAAATATATTTTAAGGCTAATATATTTTTTAAAAATCTGGAAGGTGTTAAAAAATAGACAAGGGACAAGAAACAGTTTTTGTGTTTAGTCTAGGACAGATATATTATCAACACTAGCCATAAATTAATCAAAGCCATTCAGTAGCATCAAAGGTGCACATAGGAAGTGCTACTGCAGTGGCTGCGGTGGGACCACATCCTTTCTGTGGGATCAGAAACACTTCCTTTTCTGTCCCAAGTTTTTAGACCATGGAGGAGTTTAGAAGACAGATTTAGAGAGGGCTTTGAAGAGAAGGGACTTATTTGGTTTTATGATATCATAAAAGTAAGAGAAAATAATATTTAACATTTCATGAGTTTCACTCTGTGTCATTCACTATCTTAATATTTAAGATATTTCTATATATTAACGTATTTGATCATCACAAAAGCCTTATGAGGCAGATACTTATTATCCACCTAACACACCATAGTGAAATAGCAGAAATGAGCTCAAATAATTGGCCAGCGTTGTATATTTAGTACGTAGGGGAACTATGCCTGAATCCAGAAACCATGGTTTTTATTACTATACTATACTGCCTCCAGAGATCAAAGAATTCTGAAGAACCAGTTAGGACAATCAGGCTTGTGTGTGGTTGGACAGGGAACTATTAGGGTAAGCTGTAGCTGAGAGCATTTTCATATAACCTTCACTTAGCATCTTCTGGGCAAGCACCAGATATCTTTTCAACCATCCACAGCATATGGGCTCCTTATATTATGGAAGGAGTGTGATTACAAGGGAAGGAAAGAATCCAGTCAATAAAGTATGAGACCAACATTGCTTTATCTTTGCGTGAAAACATATGGCTTATTGTTAGCACTACATAAATATTATTAGTTTGATTCAGCTGAACTAGTTAAGGTTTATTGAGCTCTGTGTCAGGCACTGTTTGAAGGACTTTACAGCTCTAATGCATTTTCTCTTCACTCACACACACACACAAAACACTTTGAGATAGATTCTGTCATTATCCACATTTCACAGATGGGGAAATTGAGGCAGAGAAACTAAGGAGTTTGCCCAAGGTCACACAACTGGCAGCTAAAATCTGCCTGGCCTCAGAATTCACACGTGTAACCACCATGTGTTACTACAGTTGACCCTTGAACAATGCTGCAGTTAGGGGCACCAACATGGAGCAGTAGAAAATCCATGTATTACTACAGTTGACCCTTCATGTAAGTGATTCTGTATTCGCAGATTCAACCAACCGATCACATAGTACTATGGTCTGTGTGTAAGTGGACCTGCACAGTTCAAACCCGTGTTCAAGGGTCAACTGTACTCAAAAGAGGAATTTGTGGGAATA